TGTTTTAAAGGTTCATTAACTTTTAATTAATAAACAATTTATCTACTAAACAAATACTATAGGCCTACTTCAACAAGACTTACTCATTAACCATAAGTTGAAGGTACAAAGTTACTCAGCATGAGCTGTTGTAAAAAGGGAGGTTGCAGGTTAACTATTTCCTACACGAATAAAATAGACGAGCGTCACTGTTTAAAGACAACTTGATTTCTTGCTTCAAACAAGATATCCATTCACTGAAGTCTTATGAAGATAAGCCTATCCGAATGGAAATATAAGTGTCGGGGACCAATACATACATTCGACTTTAAATTGACAAAGATAGAAAAATGTTAGGTCTGTGTTTAAAATTGTTCAATCTTGGTCAATTTAGTGTCGAAGGTATGTCTTGGTCCCCGACCCTTTATGTTCACTTGGATATGTTTATCTCAAGACTTCTACGAATAGATACCTTGTTTAAAGCAAGTTGTCTTCGCATATTTTATTCGTGTGGGAAAATGTTTATCCTATGTGAAAGGATACAATGTGTATATAGATATGACTTTATGGATTCCTGCAGAAAGTGAGGAATTATTACCAAAATGGAGCCAGGCCACACTGGCAGTTGTCTTGTCAACTACACAAGCTATAGGCCCAAGCCAGATGAAATTCACCCTAATATTGTTTTTGCAAAGAAACAGAAGAAGTTGTAGGACACATTGCAAAACAAATCTGCAAATATGTTTCTAAATCGATGGTCAAACGGAGGTAGAGCTGTCATCACTAGGAAGCCAGTAAATAGGAGCAGGATACGGGATGGAAGTACCATGTACTTTTATCTCAGTGGAGACAGAGCCGGTTACAGACTAAAATTAAGACATGTGGATTGTACATTGTATATTCTTTAGGTCTGCGTCTAGACTTATATTATTTTTTTCCTCTAACATTTTGATACTATCACTCTAGAAAAATAGTTATTTGCTACATTTTCGTTAATTTCAATATTTGATTGGTGTAGTTTTTGTAGTATTATCGCTGTAATTTTTATGTTTCTTGTGGGTTAGTTATTTTCATATCTGTATCTGTAATTTCGTACACTGTTTTTTTTCTATTATTCCTTTGTTCTAAACCTAAAAGATACTTATTACTTTTTTTTCTCTCTTCTGCCCATCTAATCCTTGCTCTAATTAAGACCATCTATATTTTTTGGTCTAGTTCTTCTAGCTATTGTTTAGCCATATCTAAATCTGACAAATTGGTTTCACCTGGCTCTTCGAAAACTTTAATGTCTAATTTGATTATTTTAGAATATAGTTCTGTTATTCTATTTCTTCTATATCTACATTGATATTTTGAATATTGAATAGTTTTTTCCCTATATTTAAATTTTATCCACTCCCATTTAACCTGATTATTTGCTATACTTGTATCTTCAATCCACTCATTTAAGCATGATTTTATTTCGTTTACATAGTTAGCACCTTCTAAATATGAGTTGTTAATTTTTCAATGACCTGGTCCTCTAATATAACATTTTTGATGTTTAATTTCAATTAAAACTGTTGAATGATCGGTTCTTATTCCAGAGAAAATATCACTGTTTTTTGTAAACTCTTTTAACTCGTTATTAATAAGGAAATAATCCAGCCTACATTGTATCAATGGCTTATGCACTCTCCATGTGTATCTACATTGTAATGAGTTCATGTCTCTCCAGATATCAGTTAAATCAAAGACATCTGTAATTTCTATAATTTTGAAAACCCCGCATCTTTTATTTATGTATTTTAATGAACAATTAAAGTCTCGCCCAAGTATGATATTTTACGCATTACTTGATTGCTGTTCATGAATATTTTTCAGGTCTTCAACAAAATTAATCTGAATTTTTTTTGGTATTTGAAGCATAAATATTTACTATTATAAATTTACAATCATTTTTAAATACTTCCATAACTATAAATCTTCCATTTTCATCTCTATAGCTGTTTGTAACTACAACGTTACTCCCATTTTGGATGACTAGTGACACCTCTACTATTGTTTTTTCCGTGGGAAAAAAATTTTCCTACACCATTCACATCTCCAAATATTTTCTAATTCTCTAGTACTATAGGTCTCCTGGAGAATTACTAAGTCTGCCTTTGTCCGCCTAATTTACTGTAAGTTTTCAAGCACTGGTTTCCAAGACGATTGCGTAACATATGAGGTCGAACAACGTGTTTATTTTTTAACATACTTTTAGTTTTGTCCGTATTAATGTTTAATTTATATATATTGTACCATTCCTTAAAATTATTAACTGTGTCGAAGAGTGTAATCTACGGTATCGAAGCATTTTGAAATATCTAAAAAGCATGTTCCAATCATTTCATGTTTATTTAGCAATTCTATCCATTCGTCAACAACCTTATGTAAGCACGTGATTGTTTTTTCTAATCGCATTGGTCAGCATTTTTTAAATTATGTTCATTTAGATAATCGGTTAGTTGAAGCTGTATTATTTTTTCTAATATCTTTAATAGGCCTATGTAGCAAACTACCAAAAAAGGTCTATAGTTACTTAACGTCTCTTTATTTCCTTTTCCCTTATATATTGGTGTAGTTCTTGCTATCTTCCAAATCAGCAGGGATTTCTCCGTTCATTAACGACGTATTATAAAATTTACAAAGAGTATCTGATATGTAGGTTCATGACATTTTTAACAGTTTACTATCAAAATCAAGGAGATCAATGCTGCTACGGGTAGACACATTGAGAAGTGCCTTTTCTGCTTCTTCGGTTTCAATATTTTTAAAAGAGGATTAGTAAACAACATTCTGGATTTTTCCAGTTTAATTTTTGTTCATCGAATGAGTGTGATATTTATTTTCCAATATTGGTAAAAAATTTCATTATATTAACAAAATAACAGTTTAAATTTGGATTAGTAATATTTTTGTTGATATTTATTCCCTTAACTTTCTTTATCTCATCCAATAATTTTTTTGGTCGTTCCTATGTTTATGTTCGATTTCAGGAAAATAATCAGTCTTTGCTTTCCTTAAATTACTAGTGACGTCATTTCTTATTTTTCTATAAGCGTCTAAGTGTGGTTTTGTTTCGTGCTTGTCTGACAGTCTCTTTCCATGATCTTGTTGGTACTTCAACTGAATAATATCTGGTGTTATCCATAATGATAATCTATTTTTTACTCTCATTGATTTATATGGGGAATGTCAATTACATATATGAAGTCATTTTTTCTATTTCTTCCAAATACTTTCATTACCAGCTATAAATTTGTCATTCATTTCGTTATTTTCTTGTAATTCTTTGTTAAAAAATTCTATATCATAATCTTTATAATTTATAAATTGTTTTATGCCTTGTTTTCTTATTTCTGTATTTAATACATGTGTAGACTAATGAGTGGTCGCTTAGTGCTATGTTCAATATTTAATGCTATAACTCTAAGATTAATATCACTTGACATTACTTAGTATTAAATTGAACGTAAAGCATTAATTATAAATGGTAAGTAAGAACATCATTTTTTACTAAAACGTAGAACATACTAGTATGTAGTGTCCTTATGTAATTTATTATGTTTACTTCGGGAGAACGTATTCAATTGTTTAATTAATTTACTTATAGGAGCATTATTGGGGTGTGTCTTTAAAAGTCAATCACTTTTTCTCTTTTGCATCCAAATAATGTAATAGACCACACTGTAGTAGGTCTATTACCCTGTTTGATCGCTTAATTATATTGTAGACGATTATAATAATATATAAAAATACACACAGTGTAGAAAGCAAACAAATCATTAAATTTAGCATTGATATTGTTTGTTACTTTATTATATAGCAGATTTTGAAGCATTTTTAACCCCCCCCCCCGGTGTTTGTTTCCCGCCAGTGGATTGCTTTTCAATGTCCTAGCTGCACTTCAAAAATATGTTTTTTTCCTGATATCGCACTAACTTGCAATGTACAGGCTAACCCATCAGTCCTGAATTTTTCCTTTTTAATGTGCTCGTTCGACTTCGATTTCGTCTGCCCCGTCCAACTTCATATGATCTGTTAATATACCCTCAACTAATTCTTCACACGTCATGTTGTTTTCTCGATCCTCCGGGACATTGTGGATTATGATATTATTTCTTCTGGACCTATTTTCAAGATCCTCTATTTTTACTTCTAACATTTGTACCTCTGGCACATTTTGTTTTTTTCCTTTCCATTGAGTTTAATCTTTGTATGCATTACGACAATATTTCGTGTCTAAATTCGATAAAACGGCAGTGAAGGTCGCCAAAAACCACTAAATTTGGTCATTTTTCAACTTCTTTTTGTAATAACTTCGCAAATACTTCATCGATTTTTTTGGGAAAAGATAAAACTGATCGGAATTTAATAATCATTACAACAATTACAAATTTATAAGTGTAATGTTGACACCTTTATCGGACTTTTGATTTTTATCAAACCCACTCGTGTATTTTTTCAGCGTAAAAACAGTGAAATCTGCCGAAATATCCCAGCTGTCTTTAACATAAATCCCTCTACAGTCGAAAGTTGTGGGCCGATTTCTTTTGGGAAAAGTCCATTCGAAAGCCCTTTTTGTCTTCTAAATGTATTCTAAATATAAGATTGATCGGTTGAGTAGTTTTATCGGACCAATCAGATTTATGAAAATCATCCAAAACTCCTCACCATATGCATTACAAGCATATGGCAGTTTGACGCTTACGTGGATGCAGAACTTGAAATATACTCTGGAAAAACAGATAAAATGACTAAATTATCCTTATTTTTAAACACTAAAATTATGATCATAGGCAAAAAAAAAAGGATGGAGATTCAAATGCAGTAAAAACGTATAGATTTTTAGTACGAGCAGTATATAAATGTCAGTTTTTGTAAAACACCCCATTTTTTCGAGCGGTTCACTGGTTTGAGATGGTCGATTCAATTCATTTTCTTATGTGTACATGACTACGTACATGTGAGTGGTGAAGACTGTAAAGCAGGGTAGAATGTCTTCTTTTGAGGGTAAAAATAAAACTGTTTTGTATCTACCAAAGATTTTTACTCAAGAAATGTGATACTGAATGGTATTTAGATAATTATGTATGTTGTTTAGAATAAAAATTGGAAGTCCATATGAAAATGTTATGGCGTTTAATTTGTAGTTGTGGAACCCCCTAAATTACAAATTAACTGTTCCAAATCCGTTACGCGCTTGACTGATCACCCACAGTGTACCGTTAGCCCATGAGGAAGCTACCTTCAGGTCGAATTAGTCCGGTGGCTTATGTCATCCCGTGGGAATTTCGTGATCATTTTGTTTTTGTTTTTTAATTATATACTTTAAAGTATGCTGAATCGAATAAAATGAGTCGCCAATTTTTTTACGCTCATCTTCATATGCAAATTAGCTGAAATATGCAAATTAGGTCTGAAAATGTAGGGTACTTATATCTTGGTAACCACATGTCGTAGAATGTTGCTTCTTTCTTAAAGTTGTTCAGAACATGCATGTTTCTATTTACCCTAATGGAACATTTTCTTCAAAAATGACCGGAAGTGCCATTTTGCCGACCTTATTAGCATAAATATGCAAATTAGGGGTGGAAATATAGGGAGCTATATCTTGAAAACCACTGGTCGTACAGAGTTGCTTTTTGCAGCAAAATGTTTAAAACATGCATATTTATATTTACTATAATGGACAATTTTCTCAAGAAATGAACGGAAATTGCGTTTTTGACCTTTGACCTCAACTTTGCGTGATTGTAATATCTTGGCAACCACTGGTCGTATAGGGTTGCTTATTTTAAACAAAATATTTACAATATGCACATTAATATTCTAACAGAATAATTTCTCAATATCAACCAGAAACTGTTTTATTGACCTTTGACCTATCTTTGCAGTATATAGGCCTATTATATATGTATATATACCTAATGATGACTTATGGTCGAA